AGAGAAAGTCCCTGTTCCCATTACTATGGAACCCACTTGGACACTGAACTGCCATGGGCTACATCTGTGCAGGGGTTCTAGGTTATCTCCATGCATGGTACTTGTTTGGAGTATGAGTCTCAGATTTTTTGGTTCTGTTGCTCTTCTTGTGGAGCTCCTGTCCTCTCAAGATCTTACTATTTTCTACTTCTTTCATAAGATTCCATGCACTCTGCCCAACAGTTGGCCATAAGTCTCACCATCTGCTTTGATAGTCTGCAGGGCAGAGCCATTCAGAGACCCTCTGTGGCAGGCTCCGAACTTGTTTCCTGTTTTCTTCTTCTTCTGATGTCCATCCTCTTTGACTTTCAGGATGGGGATTGGGCATTTTAGCCAGAGTCCTCCCTCTTGGTTAGTTTCTTTAGGTGTACAGATTTTAGTAGGTTTATTCTATATTATATGTGTATACGAGTGAATATGTACAGTGTGTGTCTTTCTGCTTCTGAGATAGCTCACCCAGGATGATCTTTTCCAGTTCCCACCATTTACCTGCAAATTTCATGATTTCCTTGTTTTTTATTTCTGAGGAATATTCCATTGTCTAGATGTACCACAATTTCTGTATCCATTCTTCAGTTGAGGGGCATCTGGGTTGTTTCCAGCTTCTGGCTATTACAAATAAAGCTGCTACAAACATGGTTGAACAAATGCCCTTTTTGTGTACTTGAGCATCTTTTGGATATATACCTAGGAGTGGTATAGCTGGATCTTGAGGAAGTGCTATTCCTAGCTGTCTGAGAAAGTGCCAGATTGATTTCCAGAGTGGTACACCTGATTTTTGACAAAGATGCCAAAACCATACAATGGAAAAAAGACAGCATCTTCAACAAATGGTGCTGGTCTAACTGGATGTCTACATGTAGAAAAATGCAAATAGATCCATGCACAAAACTAAATATCACCCTGCACAAAACTAAAGTCCAAGTGGATCAAAGACCTCAACATAAAACCAGACACACTAAACCTGTTAGAAGAAAAAGTGGGGAAGAGCCTTGAACTCATTGGTACAGGAGACAACTTCCTGAACAGAACACCAACAGCACAGGCTCTAAAAGCAACAATCAATAAATGGGACCTCATGAAATTGAAAAGCTTCTGTAAAGCAAAGGACACTGTCATCAAAACAAAACGACAGCGTACAGATTGGAAAAGAATCTTCACCAACCCTATATCTGACAGAGAGCTAAATATCAAGTATATATAAAGAACTCAAGAAGTTAAACAGCAACATCTCAAATAATCCAATTAAAAGATGGGGTACAGAGCTAAAAACAGAGAATTCTCGACAGAGGAGTATCGAACGGCCGAAAAACACTTAAAGAAATGCTCAGCATCTTTAGTCATCAGAAAAATGCAAATCAAAACGACCCTGAGATTTCACCTTATACCCATCAGAATGGCTAAGATCAAAAACTCAAGTGACAACACATGCTGGAGAGGTTGTGGAGAAAGGGGAACCCTTCTCCACTGCTGGTGGGAATGTAAACTGGTACAACCACTCTGGAAATCAATTTGGCTCTTTCTCAGACAAATAGGAATAGCTCTTCCTCAAGATCCAGCCATACCACTCCTGGGCATATACCCAAAAGAGGCTCAAGTACACAATAAGGACATTTGCTCGACCATGTTTGTAGCAGCTTTATTTGTAATAGCCAGAAGCTGGAAACAACCCAGATGCCCCTCAACTGAGGAATGGATACAGAAATTGTGGTACATCAACACAATGGAATACTACTCAGCAATGAAAAACAAGGAAATCACGAGTACCAGGTTTTCAATGCCCATAATCCAGTCGCTTAGCCACAGGCTGAGCGTCAGAAGGCCCCGGCCAACCACCACTCCTCTCACCTTCACGGGCTTCTCCATTGCCCTGGGTTGTTAACTTCCTATCAAAACTCTCCAGACCTCTTCCCTCAATAAGACAGACTGCAGGTTTGAATAACCAAAGCGCCCTCCCTTTGGGAATATTGTCAATCTCCTTCTCAAGTCTTTTGCTGTGGATTCTTGGCATCCAGTCTCAGATCCTCATGCTTACGTGGCGAGGACCTCAGCAGCTGGGGTCCGACCCCCAGCCCTGCTCCTTCTTTTTATAGCAATTACACCTGAATTCTTTTGTTGGACTCCCTATGCCCTGGGCAAGTTCCAATGATCTCAGTGGGGCTCTGGCCCCAACGATGTTCTGATCCCCCTCTGTGGAGCTCCCATCTGGTGATGCTTTCCTATTTAGACAGGCTTATGGCAGCAGAAGTCTCTGAAAGCAGAGATTTGTAGATTTTTTTTTCTTTCTTTCTTTCTTTTGTCCTGGCCCTTGGCTAAAGAACATTTTTCTTTCTTTTTTTTTTTTTTTAATTCATTTTACAGTCCCAGTCCCCTCCCTTCATCTTCCCCTTTTCCTTAGAAAAGGGGAGCTCCCTTTCCCATCCACTCCTACTCATCAAGTTGCACCAGGACTGAGCATGTCCTATTCCACTGTGGCCTAGCAAGGCAGTCCCACCAGGGGAAAGTGATGAAAAAGCTGGCAAGGGAGTCCATGTATGATGCAGTCCCAGCTTTCCTTACTAGAGGGTCCACCTGAAGCCTAAGCATCCCATCTGCTACACCTTTGTAGGAGGCCTAGGTCCAGAGAAATAGACAGTTTCCACACATATTTTAAGTTTTTGAAATCAGTCCAAGAACATAGAAGCTGGCCTTGGTTAACTAGAAACAGGTTAACTAGAAGAGGTAGTAAATGTCTCATGTTTCCCTGGTACCAACTTAGAGAGAAAACTCACCTGGTCAGTTACAGGAGGTGGAAGGTTCAGGTTTGCTCACCTGGAACTAATCCTTTCATTTATTCATTTATTGGTTCACCCATTAACGCATTTGACATATTTGGCAGGGCTGCTATTCCATGACCTTCCAACATTTATTAAGCCCTTTGTGGTTAGATGTTGTTATACAGAAGCTGGGAAACCTATCTAGTGTGCTTTCCAAATGCACTTTCCCAAGGATAACCTTGAACAGCGTTGTTCCCTTAGCTCAGCACAAGTTCTCATGCTGACAGCGGTTCCAGCTTCACCTTGGATCATCAGCCTTGGCCTTCTCTCCTGTCATACTTTTTACCTGTGTCTATAACCTCTAGTTTCCTGGGATGAATAAGTGGCAGTAACAGCACGCGAGGGGCTAAGTACACATCTCTAGGGTCTATTTTAGGAAGCCTGTATGCAGCCCATCTCCTTGCACACAGAGGTTCCAAATGGACCTTCAGGATTTACTTGAGTTTTCCAAAGATGAATTACCATCTGCTTTAGCTTTAAATTAACTGGGACAGTTGCAACCCAGAGAGAATAGAGAGCTGGGGAAATGGAATTGATTCTAAGCTTATTTCCATTTGGAAAGGCAGGAAGAAAAACTAATGGAGCTTAGGGAGGCATGTGTTCTATGAACTGTGAAGTAAAGGAAGGACATGCCTGTGAAATGAAGGTTTGGGGAAAAACAATTCTGCCTCTGTCATACACTCTAGATGGATAAAATATAGCTCAAGGCAAAAAAAAATACCATCCATTTCTTTTTTTGACAAGTGCTGTCAAATGTGGCAAGTAGGACTTGAATATTTATGCTCATTCTTTTTAAGAGGTGCCTTCATCACTTGGTTATGTGCGTGCACACACTGTCAACTTTAGAGTTTAAAAAAAACTTGTCTGATTATATTAAACTCAGTGTGGTTAAAATCGAACTTACTCTCTTTGATGACAAATCTGGGTGTTTTGATTTTGTCTATATTACTGTGTTCATTCCCTGGTGTATGTGAGTGTGTGTGTCTGTGTGTGTATGTGTGTCTGTGTGTCTGTGTGTGTATGTATGTATTCACACACACACACACACACACACACACACACAGACACACACACGTCAGTTAATCCTGAATTTGGGTTTTGACTAACTTCTTGTTGTTATAAAGGGTTTCACTATATAGTCCTGATTAACCTGGAACTCACTATGTAGACCAGACTGGACTCAAACTCACAGACATCCTCCTGCCTCTGCCTCTGCCTCATCTTTTGAGAGTTGGGTTGTTTCTTACCTGATTGCCAGGTAGAATTGGTCTAAAATGGATTAGAGGAGCTAAGTTGCAACAGGTTTGTCCCTTAGGAGCTCACTATTCCTTAAAAATGTTTTAGTGTTTAATTTTGTTTTCTCCAGTTTCATACCTGTGTGCAGTATATTCCAATGCTCTCTTCCCTGTCCTTTCTCATCTCCCCTCCCCCATCCAACCCTCCATACATTGCCACCAGACCTTCTCCCAGATTCATGACTTTTGATTTGGTTTTGTGACTGTGTTTATTCACTGTGGCTTGGAAATGACCCTTGGAGCTCAGTGGGGTCAAGGTACAGAACTGAAGACAATGTCTCCTCTTCTCCCTGAATCTATCAGTAGTCAACAGTTGAGCAGCAAGAGCTGAACCACCTTCTCCATCCATGCCTGATGGCTGATAAATAAATTCTTGTGCAGAGGAACTGTGACAGTCCCCAAATTGGTAAAGTGAGTAACAAAAATGCCTGAAGAACCTGTCCTTACAATTCTTTTTATCTATTCCCTAAAGGTATAGAAAAGTAAAACACTTTCTTTTCAGAACATGTTTCTGGCTTGCTTTTCGGGGTTGTGATTAAACCCGGGACTTTGAGCGTGCTTGGGGAAGACACTGCTGTGAGCCTCCACGCAGTCCACAGACCATGCTTATTATCGATTTGCTGCTGTTAAAGCATTGAAAGGTTGGCCGTCTCTGCTTCGTGATCTGTGTGCCTTGAGCAAGTTGCGAGGAACATCCACAAGCTTGCCCAAGATGAACAGAATCCCTTTAAACCATGTGCCCAAAAGATATTTCGTTTCTTAAAAAGTTCAGATCAAAGATCTTCTAGAATTCTTCAGTAAGAATTTGGGTTTTAGTAGCAGAGGAAAAAATGAGGGAATAAAGAAGAAATAGAGTTGGAATGAAATAACAAGTTTAATAAGAATGTTTCATGGCATCTTCCCGAGGTGCTAGCAGTTTACAGAGCAAGAACACTTTCAGTACAAATGGGATACTACTGCCTTGGCAAGAACCTGGTCCTCCTGGGCCAGGATTCTCAGTTCTTGGGGTTGCTGACGACAGCGGTGGTGCTGTAGGAGTACGGGCTGAGCAGGGCTGCGATGGTGTAGTGGCGATGGCCGGAATCGTTGGCTGTGAAGACCACCTAAAAGAAAGGAGAGATAGGTAGTTCAGACAGAGCCGGGGTGAGAGCCATAGTCCAAGCTTTCCCTGGAAGTTCAATGCTAAAGTGATAACCTTCGTGGTTTTGTCTGCTTTCTCTAAGGTGGGGGAGGAACAATTAGAGCAAAACAAAATATGCTGCCTAGATAAGCCCTTTCAGCGGTGTGCGGCTCCTAGAGAACTGCAGGAGGTCTCACTTTGCAAGTTTACAGCGCCGTCTGGGTGGCCTTGCCCCGATCAAGCAGAGTGGTAGAGAGCCTGGAGGCTACTGTTTACTTCCTTGGTTTAGATAGAAATGAGGAGAAGGGAAACACTGGCATCCACAAGCAAGAGACCTGTGGGGAGTGGTGGTGGTCAACCCTTCCACAGACCTCCAGACCTAGAATGTTGGCTGGAACCGTTCTCCATCTGAGGACCACTTGCTGGTGTCTGCCTATGTTTCTACAGTGTCCTACAGTGTTCTACGTGTCCCTGTCCAACACAAGTGGCATGTGGTTGGCTGAAATGTGAATAAAAGCTTTGGAGCTCATGGAAGTTTCTGGACAAAATGTGGATTTTGCAATTAACTAGCAACTTCTCAAATCACTAGATTGTCTGAGACACAGATACAGCAGCAGCTCAGGGGCGGGGGTGAGGAAAATCCGGAAGAGATGTTAAGCATAGAACGTGTATGCAATTATACTCATGGTGGGTACAGGTTTTGAAAACACTTTGAAAAAAATACCTTTTATTTCCAAATTTGGGCAAAGGAAGATTGGATGACAGAGTAAAACAAGCTAACACAAAAATAACATCCAGATACTTGGAAGAGAGAGTCATCTTAGACACTCCATTATATTTATTATTATTATCATTTATAATGATATGGATTAAATCTTGTGACTGGCAGGCAAGCCCTCTGGCACTGAGTCTCAAGCCTGGCCTAGGTTGGCCACTAACTCATGATTAGTCTACTTCAGCCTGCCAGCATTAGATTGCAGGCCTGTGCCTCTCCACCCACCCCTCCAAATTTCTGTTCTCTGTCACATTGTCCTC